AACGCTTTTACAAGGTAATCCTGCGATTTTTCTCTGAATTTTTTCTACGCATTCAAGATTTGGCTGCAAAGAGGCAATTTCTCTCAGCCAAAAGTATGTATATCATTTAATATTTTAATAAATAGAAAAATAAGTGGTGAATTTGTTAGTATCTGTACATGGTGATTGCCAAAGACTATTTAATTGTGCGCTAAATCGGAAAGTTAGTGTCATCCACGAGCAAAGCTCGACTAGTTCAACTGTCTCCAAAAATTTCATATATATAAAAGTTAACTACATACGACAAATCAAGTCCTTCCGACCCAGACTACTTTTCCTCTACGCGATGAACAAGTCGCCAGAAGAGACTTACTTCCTTTCGTCTCTTCGCTCCACATCCCCCCCCCCCCCCAACAAAGAAGAAAAGACGTGCTACCCTCGCCTATCTCCGAAAAAAGAAAAATCATCCATCGGATCCGACCTCAAACAAGAAAGTTAAGAGAATAAAAACTTCCCGTGAATTTCAGGATTGAAATAGAGGGTACTATGCAAAAAAAAAAAATTAATAATAATAATAAAAAAAGAAACGGTCGGAACCAGTAATTATCTATTGCATGAAGGGAGAGAGAAGGATTTTTAGGGATTCACAGTTTCTGGGGGGAGGGGAACGGTCATCGCCAACGGAGTAGAAAGGGAGGGACTACAAGAAATTGACTGACAATTAACTGCCAACAAAATGAGAGAGTCATAAGAATATCAAAGAGACTTACGGGAGAGCCTCAAGTAAATGTTATCGTGACACAACCATTCTTCTGAACACCCACCCCTAGGCAATTCTAGAACGGAAGTTCCTCGGCGTTGCGATGCTTATGTAATGAAAAAAATTTGACCTTCTGTTTGGAGGTTACCTTAATTTCCGATGGCTCACAACACGAAAAAAAAAAAACTCTTAACACGTAGAAACTCTTAAGTTAATATAGGACGAGGGGCCCTTGGGGCGGATGTGGTTCTATGCCGAGTCTAAATGTAAGTCTTACAGAGACAAGCAAACTGTTCCTAACATGTGCTGCTTGAAGTCGGTTCTTTCCAGTGATCCCTCAGTTTTCCACTAATTTCTTCAATCTGACTGGATGTGATCAAATTAAAATCGTGAAGATTCACCAGGTGAAGTAGAAAATTTCTTTCCAAATTCCTCTCTCTAAGCTTTTGGCTGTTCTTATCGATAAACGAACGGCAAGCGTCGATCACTTGGAAGTCGGCAATGTAGCTGAAAAACACAACAAAAAAGTAAAAATATTGATAACAATCTCGTTGTCTCTATAACTCATTCCTTGAAATCCCTACGCGTCGATTCAAGGTCGTAAAAATCAAAACCCAAAGTAATCACAACAGCCAAGAAGAACCTGGACAAAAATTAAAAACAAAAGGCCAATGAAAGCTAAAAGTAAATACCTGCAAACGAGCTCAGTCAAGCACGGGAAAACGCGGGAAAACGCAGAGGACCAAGTCACGATTGATGTTACTTTTGCATTTGATTGGTTGAGAGGGTAGCGCAAGTTTTCTGAACCAATCGGAGAGCGAGGTAAGCGCATTAAAGGATTACTTTCGGCACTCATATGGCAATTACACGAAACATGTAAACAGCTACAGGCACGGGAAAACGCGAATAACCAAGCCCTGGTTGCCTTTAGTTCTGCATTAAACTGATTTGGAAGATGGCGCGGGTTGATACTACTTTAGTCCAAAAAGGCTACTTTCGACACTCGATTACACTTGAAACTGCTAGAAAACGGTCACTCGCTTAAAGTGGTCAGTTACACATTTCTCATTTACTGAACAACACAGATAAGGTTTGACTAACACTAATGACAGTTTGTCTAAAACCTTTTGATTCCATTTTCTACGGATTTCCCATCACGAGTCACCACACTCTCATCAAGAGTGAAGACAACCAACCTGTTTTTCATCAAATGAAGATTCCAAAGTTTCATCAACTCTTTTTCTCCGTCATTCACGTCAGTAAACTCATCGATTAACTGAAAATGAAAATGAAAACGTAAATATGTAGAAAAAATAAACTCGTAACATGTACATCGCACGTGACTTCATGGCAACTGAGAATAAAAAGACTAACACTCGGTTGATCGAATAGGCGAGATAGAACAACAGGACAATTTTCCTGTTGTGACATCTTCATATCAACCATGAAAAGCAGTTTTTATATTTGAAATATTTTTATTATTTTCATTGAAGTTAGGCAGATGGCAAGATAGTCGAGTATCTTTATTTAATGATGAAAATACCGTGTATAAATAAAGTTATCGTATCGTATCGTTATTGTAGAATATTCTTGCAGGAATGAAGTCTGCAAAAGAAAATGACTCGCTCGCATGGCAGTCGGAGCTTGTGCCAGTGTTTGTAGCATGGAGCGTCTAGAAGTATTATTATTACACCTCATGCCTGGGAGGGATGGATACCGAACAGTCCATCGTAGATTACATCCAAACATTTTAACGAGGTTCTATGACAATTGGGATTGCCCTGTCACTCTTATGGGTGTGGAATATCTTGCACAAGAACACACCGCAATGAATGTAATTCCTCGACACTAGTCCTTTCAAGCTGCGGCCAAGCAGGCTAATCATGCGGAGCCACAACCAACCCTTGGTTTGCCCCACCCACATTAAACATCACGAATATTACCACATACATATCTACTTTCAAATCATTAAAAACAAATTCACCTGGATGGTTTTGACTCTCATCCATTCAGGAATAGTCTCATCCTCACTGTCTTGGTCCTTCTCAGTTGTTATGATGGGAAGCGTTGTCTCTGAATGAAAATACATCCTGAAAGGAACGACAGCCTGTCAATCACGCACTTGTCACGAGCAAATATGGACGATGGCACGTGGTAAACCTACTTCAATGTGGGCGCGCAAGTGTGAGGCCATTTAGATATAATTAATATGTAATTGACACAAAAGACAACAGCTATTAACGTGTATATACCTGTGATGTCCATTATAAAAAGGTCTATTGCTGTCAAACTCTCCGTCATCAGGCTCCAAGAATTCCGACAGACTTTCTCTTCGACGTTGGGGTCTGAAGTACAAATTAGTTATGAGTTACAAGGAACCACAATGTAGTTCTTGTTCAAATACGTCTCGGTTATCAAATCACACATCAGAGGGACTACTCTTCTGTTTACCGCCGAACAATCCTGCTTAGCTCTTTAGTTTTGTCGCGCCATACACTAAGCGCGAGCGCATCGCGGTACAAGCTCGAACAATGGCTGCTAAAGAGACTACATTTTAGAACTTCCTCTCCCAGTTTTTCGTAACTTATGAGACTACTGGTCAAATTTTGCCCATCGTGCAAACAATCCCGTAACTACATAGGAATTCAAATCCAAGGGATTTGTGTGCGCTCCCCCTTCCCTGTTTGAGGACGGGTGGGGCACACATAAATTCTAGGGGGATTGGCCCTCAAATCTCATCAGATGTACGCGTTCCGTTTAGAATCGATACAATTTATAAGCACTAGGAACATGGAAATGAAGAAAATCACCTCTGAATCAGGAAATATATTCTTGATATAACACAAAATTATCCCAACGGGTATCCAACATTATTTAGGGCGGATAGTGATGAGATCGTAATTTAGAACAGGCCATAATTTAGAACAGGGGAGGGGGGAAGAGACACTTAAGTTACAGACTACGTGACAGTTGTGTTACCTCCAGACCACAACATGTGTAGAAGGCACTCTCCTGCAAGGTCCCTCTCGACTGAGCGCATAACCGAGAATATCATTCATGTCTTCGGGTTTACCGTCGTATGATCCATCGTAGTTTTCGTTTACACTAACGTCGATTCTCTCTCCTTTACTGTGAGGCTGAAAACGAATATGTGGTCATGGAAGATTACAGAGGGATAACTGTTTTCCGCTTTCTCCCACGCTAATTACCCGTGCTATGTCTAGTTACGTTAAGCATCCATTTCACAGTGTCTATTTTACCTGTCTAGTTGCGTTAAGCATCCATTTCACAGTGTCTATTTTACCTGTCTAGTTACGTTAAGCATCCATTTCACAGTGTCTATTTTACCTGTCTAGTTACGTTAAGCATCCATTTCACAGTGTCTATTTTACCTGTCTAGTTACGTTAAGCATCCATTTCACAGTGTCTATTTTACCTGTCTAGTTACGTTAAGCATCCATTTCACAGTGTCTATTTTACCTGTCTAGTTACGTTAAGCATCCATTTCACAGTGTCTATTTTACCTGTCTAGTTACGTTAAGCATCCATTTCACTGTGTCTATTTTACCTGTCTAGTTACGTTACGCATCCATTTTGCAGCGTTTGGCACGCGAAGCAAGTTTCGCCGCGCTCTGGATTTGCCCTCGACACTCTTCGCTTTGTGTACTTGCAGATCATTTGCTTTGAGATTTGATCAGCCAGCGACCAGGCTTTCATTTACAGCGCTGCAGGAAGCGCGTTTCTTAGTCCGCAGGAAGACTGGAGACGAAGCAGGGAGATAGGGAGAGGTTTGCCAGGGGGGGCTGGGGGGACTGGGGGGGGGTCCGTGCTTAAGTACTAGCAAACCTCTCACCGGTTCGCGTTGCTCAAGGGCTCATGCTTTCCCGCATACAAAGACACGTTCGTGCCAAAGCAATCATTATGAGAGTCTGCATGCAAGCTACGAACTCATAACAAAATTGCGTTAATTATCATTATTGCAACGAGCTTCATCTTTTAAAACCAGTTTTATAGATAAAAGGCATCACAAAAAATTTCCTTGGCAACTTGTCGGTTAACTTCAGTGCAACTGATTACATTTCTTCTTACTGAAGCCTAATGCGCCCTTGCATTTAAACCTCCTAAACAAGCGCATCTCAAACCGAAAAAACAGACTAAAAATACTCACAGCGTAAGTAAAGATGAAGCGTCTGTGGCAGAGTTTCAGATGTTTCAACAAACTGTACAGTCCTCGACAATCGATAGAACACCACGGACAGAAAAAGTCATCTCTGGCCTCTGTTTGTTGGCGTGTGTTGTTGTTGTAAATGAACTGGTAAAATACTCGCTGTCTCTTCCGGCTCTCACTGTTTCCATTGGCCTCTTCGCTTGGCGTACGCACGTCATTCGTTGACGCCGAGTCCTGACTGGTCAGTGGTGCTCGCAACGGAAGTGACGTGGGACGCCTTGGTGGCCGCGCCAGTGGAGTGCCCGACCAAGAGAGTTTGAATTTTAAGGTGGGGCCGTAAGCGAACACCTCAAAAGGACCCATCTGAAAAATGCAACATTGTTTTAATGGACAGAAACTTTGAATCAAGCTGGTTAGGGACAGTGGGTCACATTATATCTTACACCTGCAACATCGTTTGCACTTCCATCTCTGTCAGCGAAGAAGAAGATGGCCTGTGACAGATTAAGTTCTCCCTCCCTCCCCCTCCTGGCACGCCCTTTCCTCTCAGTAACTCACCTGTCCCTCAAACACGTTTTCCCAAGAGGTCCTGTTGGACAGTATCCCCTTCTTTCTTCCTGGTCTCTTGTGCTTCTCGTGCAGCGCTAGCTCATAATCACCGTCCGTTAATAAACAGTGTTTATTGTTGTCAAACACGATAAGTTCAGCGGTGTACACAGTGTGCGCAGTCTCACAAGAGCTTGAATTATCAGATGCATCACCATCTTCCCACTCCCCCTCGGGATAGCTCCGCCCCACACGTCGTCGTTTTGTGGGGGGCTCTTCTGGGGTGAGAGTGTCGTCGACGCCTAAGATATAGAGATTGACATAATATTAGACCGTGTACATGTGTATCAAGGCCTGCGTCTAAATGAGTTACCAGCATGCGTTTATGAAGAGGCATACCGTTTTCGTCCTCTGCCGCATCAGAGAGAGGTTCCCCGGCGTTCTTCTTCTTTTTCCCTCTTTTCTTGGTGCTTTTATTATTTACGCGGTACGGGACGCTGACTTGCAGACTAAGAATACATGTTCGACTCGTCTTGCCACCCCTAAAAGTACCGTTAGGGATGGACACACTTGATGACGGAGAGACTGGTAACAACTGAGAGCGAGGGTTGAATGGCGCGGAGCCTTGGCCGAGAGGATTTGTCACTACTTGTGGATCACTTTCCTATATAAAAAAAAAGAACAGATATGCAGAGAGGAAGTTTTATACCGTGCTAGTTGTACGACAGTCGACCGATTGTTGGATGTCAGACGACTGGCAGTCGGTAACATGTCGGTTACTCGTCGGTAAGTTTCGTACCAAAAAGTGGTTCGCAATGCATTGTAGGGCGATCCGACGTGCTCCATCGTTCTAGAGATCGCACCCTAACCACGAACATACCTTCCGTCGCTTGTGACAGATTTTGACGAGAAGTACATCCACTTTGATAAAATCTTCCACGAGTAGCGCGCTCTTTTTGTTGTTTGACAAGTCACCGTTAACTGAAGAAGACGAAATAAAACACATCTTTAAAATGCAATGAAATTAAACAAGCATTTCTCAAAGAAATAATCAGAGTAATCAGTATATCGTGAACATTGTTGTGGAACTTTGATAATCTTTCCAACGGCTCTTTTGGTACAATATACGTATTTCAGGTCATTTAAGCGGAAGCAAAGGAGAGCCTTGATTTAAAAAAGAAAACTCTCAAAAGAGAAGTGTTTACTCTTATGGACAGAGTCCATTCTGATGATAGTCACTTGAGAGCAACAGGGAAAGTTAAGGATGGAGAATAGATAAGGATGAAAATGATTCAGAAATAGTTGCTTGGGAGTTGTTTTAAAAACACTCTACAGAAAATTGGAATTCTAAGAAAGATGGAAAAAGGCAATTTGTGAGGGAGATGTGGTATATTCTTAAATATTCAACCTCCATTCAATTATAGGAACGTCTTTCACTATTATTTAAAAGGAAAAAATGATGATTCATGAGAAAGCCACAAGTAATTTTTTCTCATCTTTCCCCTTTACTTGGATTCTTCTGAATAAAATTTGAATTAAACAGTGAAATACCCGGTCCTGATCCATGGAAAAATCCTGTAAATGTGAGATTCATGTAGCCACTATTTTCACTGCAAATAAAGTAAAAATAACATATACATCAGCTATGACATTAGCATCTTACTTCTTGTTTACTCTCTCAAAATTGTGACAACTTCATTTTATCAACTTTTTGATATTCATTGTTAACAACTGCTAGTAACCTTAACATAGTTGTCTCCTCTGTCATGAACGTCTTAAATTGACCAAAAACCTTTCTCAATACATCCAAAATCCAGCTAATCGTGACATTGTAATATATTTCATTAACGTTGAACGATCAAACTGATTTTCCAATGACCTATATACTTCAACAATACACTCTCCAAATGTATTCTAATCTAAATTTGTTTCTAATAACATTTGCCTTTCATTAATGCCTACAGCAATTGTGAACAAAAACTTTGTCTTTTTTCTAAGAGTCTTTCCTAAAATTACAGACATGTAAAAGCAAATTCAGATAGTAAATTAGGAAAAATGATTTCATAGGTTTGATGATTGACATTATACTGAAACAGTATTAGTGGAGAAGAAATACAGAAAATGAACAAATATATAACATCAGTGTTAAGGAATAAAGCAAAACTTCAAAAGAGTACTAAAACCATCTTAAGATTCTTATTGAAAATTAGCTCTACACTAAATCAGAGTCTGTACAATGAACATCACTTTCTCTGCAGGAGCTGGCATACCACTGAGATATTATTTCATGAAAAAGTTAGAAGCCATAATGAGAGTATAAATTTATAGGTATCAATTTGAAAAAAAATTGCAAACTTAAAGGAAAACTTCTACTCTTCCCAATATGATTGTAGCTCTACAACTTCATAATATTTTTGTTTTTTGAAAAGCATTTGTGGTTTATGATTTCTGAACAAGGTCCTAGGGTGAAACCACAGACACTGGGGTGATGCTACCTAGCAATGCTTTATGCATTACCAAAGATCGATGGATGCTATTTGAGGTCTTTCAAAACAATCAGGTATGAAAAATAAAGTTGCTATCAATTGGTGCTCTGATGTGAAATTGATTCAACTTTTTTTATGAAGCAAAAGTCAACTGAATGACAAATCTTCTCTTAGTTCAAATATGGAACTCACAGAGGATCTCCTGTTTCTGATCTATTGTTCTCACTTTCAACTTTCTCTAGCATGTCGTTGATCTTGAAACTTTTCCTACAAAGAAAAAGAAAAATTAAAACTGCCTTTAAATCATGAAGACGAAAGAACACACTAAACTTAGGAGAGATGAGGGAATGGAGCTTAGAAATCATTTGGACTGAACAATGTTTAAATGGTTTTCATGCATATCTCAGTGCTTAAAACTCTAAAATACTTTTTTCTTCTTGCTACTAAATTTTCAAAGAAGCTACAATTAAGACTTTGATGACTCAGTCAGTTAGTCATTTAGCTAAGTTTGTATATTCTGTCAAGACCATGTGCAGTTTACAAATATCGTAAGTATATTAACCTGAAAACTATTTACTTCAAATTCAGAACACAACAGCCAAGTGTTCACATTGGGCCTTTTAGGGGAGATAAGTTTCTCATTTCAATGTTATTTTAAAGCACTACGTTTTAAAGTGTTGTGTATTTGGGAAGTAATTATTTAAGAAGGCCAAAATGCTCAGTAGGGATGCAATCTTTCTGATGCTTATGGGGAACATTCTCAAAATTTTTCGACGTAATGACTGGAATTCCAAAAATTTTTATGATGGACAAAGTCAATTTTCTGTTTTTCATAAAATTTCCTAAGATACCAGTAAATGTATTTGCAGGAAAAGTTTGATTTATGTATTTTGAGTACAATAAGACAAATATTATAAAGAAAGAATGCAAGTGGTTAGTTCTTCTTCCTCTAACACCTAGATTGATTGAATGAATAATTAAAATATAAAAAAAAAATAATAATAATCAGTTATGTTTACAAATATAACTGGTCCATTCCAAATTTTCTCTTTATCCCAAATGTACAGTATAACCTTGTTAACTCTGGCTCCTACTAACTTGACTAAAATCTGATTTCCTCTGGTTTTGACCCCATTTTTTAATTCATCTAGTACCAACTAACTTGAACTTGGTTAACTTGAACTTCTTATACTTTCCCTAAGCTCAAAGTGTCAGAACATAGCTGATTGACAAATCCCAATCTTAAATCGCAATTGAAACAAATGTAGTAATATTCATGAAATATAATAAATTCATCAAAACTACTTAGATTGAATTCTCTTGTCAAAGGACCTTCATAAAACAAACTAAAAGTATGAAAATGACAGTTGATTGCACAAGAATAATAAAAACATGATTCCCTGTGAATTATTGACAGGATCATTGAAATTCAACACCAATCACAATAACTTGGGTCCCCATTAACTCCAACTCATTCCCCTTGAAAGTTTGAGTCAGCAGGGGTTCCACTTACGTATAAACCTTGGCTATAGGGAAATGAAATTAAAAATGTGAAGTAATTGTTATTTCACTTTAGACACCAATATATTTAAGCAGATGTTTATTTATTGTTGAAAAATACTCGAGTTGCAAAAAAAAAAATGAGCACTTCTATAAAAACAGCCCATTTTTTTTTTTTCAGTTTATCAGCCTTTAAAAGTCCTTCTTCTAAATGAGGAGGGTGTTGTTATGTCTGTATGTCTGTGTTTCATCCATTACGTAATGTGTCTACCACTGACTGCATTTATTGACACAATGTTCTTTCCTTGGACAATCTGCTGGTTATTCGACTGATATCCAATTTCTCAACAGATCTGTACAGAGCACTTTCAAATCATGTCCACTTCTCTACAATTTAGGGACCTAAGTGATGTCATACCTGGCGTCTGTGTTCAGAAACAAGTGGAGGGCGGATTGTATGGGGCAAAAATCATTCACAAAAAAAAAAAATATCAAGACGAGAGCTCGTTTAAGCAAGAAGGGTTAATTTTATAAAAAAAACTCTATATATTAACTAGAATAACTTGGACACGTGTTTGATCACCACACGTGTCGAGCCCTTTTGTTTTCAAGTCGTAAAAATTCCGTGAAATTCTATACAATAGCTGACAGTTTCACATGAATAGGTTATCGTATCCCTGTCCTATATTGAGTAAACTTTTTCTTCTGGAAAAGCAAAACCCTTCAATAAGGCTTTAGTATATACTCACCGCTTTTTTGTGGATGCCGGTCTAGTTCGACGATGCTTCATGTAAGACAAAGTGCGATGAAGAAATACGGGCTGTAACAGATATTTAAATGTGATAAAGAAATCAACATGTTTCATGATCTTGGCCTGGGATAGGTCTCAAATAAGTAATCGCGTCTTTCTTACTTTCCTAAGGATTTAAAACACTGCAAATAAAGGCAACTTTTGGCATACAAAACGGAGAGAATTGTCTTCAATAAACTGAAAGACAACAGTGATTCCTTTTGAATAAAATTAGATAAGTAAATGTTATACCCACCGCGACTGCATTTCTCGTTCGAAGAAAGCGATAAATTTGCGTGGGTTCTGAAAGTGGAAAAGTTGATAAGTTAAAAAGTGAGGAACAATGCCATTTAACGGGATGAAGCGAAATTGATCGAAGTGCTGTGTATCTTTCGTCGACTCCAAACAAACTCGCTTACTTTCGAAAGCTTGAAGAAATAACTCGTGATCTGCTCGAAGTTGTTCAAATTTTGTCTTCTTCGGACTTGGATAGATCACATCGGCCTTCTCACTGGTCATTTTCACTGGGGTTTTCGCCGTGTTATGGACAAGAAACGGCAAAGTCTTTCTCGCCCTTTCACTTCCTGGCGTTTGAGAACCGCGCGAAATGCACGCGAGCGACGACCGCAATATACTATGGGTATGGGATATTTTGCGCGAACGACGCTTAGTAGCAGAGTCTTCGTTCTGCGTCTGTTACGGCAAGGAAAAGGCTGTCGGTAACGCAAAAAGTGGAAGGGAAAGGCTAATTAAAAACGAAATAGCGGTATCTCAGCAATGCCTTTTCTCAATAACTAAGAAGCCATCTACTTTTTCTGTATTTTGCACATGCGAGGATAAAAAAAAAAATAAATAAATAAATTAAGGACGCTATGAAATTTCACGCTTCTCTCCTCACTCAAATTCTGGCTTATAACCACAACTAAGCCCGATAGTGTCTTGTTGCTTAAACTGAACATGAAAAGAATCCCCATGAGGCACAAAGCAGGGTCCTTAAGGGGAAACGTTTTATGCTAAGTAAGGAAAGGAGAAATAGTACAGTTTAAGGCAAGGGGGAGGGGCTAGGGTAGAGACGAGGGAGGTCCCAGGCAAATCATGAGGAGCTCGGTCAACAATGATTATGACATCAATGCTGTATTTTTTTTTTCTTATATCGCTAGTGAACTTAAGTATTAGTGAAAGCCTACGGAGCCAAGTTCTCCAATAATGAGTAATTGGAAACTGATACATTTAGATTTCCTCTCTCTAACCCTCAAGAATTTATTGTCACTATATCAGCATTCATTTAAATCATTTTACTGCGTGGCGTACCAATGAAGATCGATGCTTCGGCGCTTTTTAGTGACTTTTTAGTGATTCGGCGCTTTTTAGTGATTTTTTACCAATTACTCCCTTTATTTTTTCAACTATCTCGTGTGTTTTTCGCTGTAGTAGGTGTGCGATACATGGATTGTTTGACAGTGTGCAAATATGCGCCCGTGACGTTGAGCAGCGGCAGTTACCATTGACAACATTGGAGAAAAATGGCGGACGAAGTATAAACTGAAATTTGTCTGGAAAATCGTCGATTATTCTTCTTCAAAATGTACGCAGCACCATGTAGCCCATCCTCTTCCATATTTAGCGAAATGCTTGAACTTAATGCAACGAGAAATAGCAGCAAACGGGACTATTCAGAGGAGGAACAACTATCTGTTGGAAGTAGTTACGATGCGGCGAAAAGTTCACCAGTGTTTTTCGGTCGTTATGGACACAAACTTTCCGATTCTGTGCCTGAAATTCCCGAAGGAGAAGATGGCACGTCAACAAGATCCTCAATGTTTCCCGAATTTGATGCCTCTATCAGTCATCCGGCAACTTTTGGTTATGTTTTGTTGGATAGAAAGCCAGTTGCACCTCCAAAACAAGAATCCGCCCCTTTACCTCATCCCAAAGAGTGTGAGTATTAGATAAGGCAGAGCACATTCAGAAGGATATTTACAGTACTAGAAGGTCCCCTTAATGAGCTTGGGAGGAGAAGGGAAATATTTCTGTTAAACCTCATACTATACCGATACATCAATGTATAATGCTCATGCCTCAAAGCTAGCTACTGTATATTTTGGCTAAACTGCTGTTTCTATCATCGTTTTCTTTCACCCTTTGACCCCTTGAGAGTGACTAGCATCTAATTTCTTCTTACAATGTCACCCCTGAATCACACATTAAGGTCAGGAGAATAAAGGAAATGGTCATCAACTGAAGAAGCTCTCTCTTCTTTCAAGCCTTATTTCCAGTACTACATAAGTAGGATTTATTACTATGAGGATCGATTTCATACAAAGCTCTTGATTGTTAAACAAATTCTCCTTGTCAGAGCCTTTGGGAAATGTATAGAGAACAATATGGAGAATATGCATAGTAATGTTAGGGTGTAAACATTTAATTATTTAACTGCACATGTATTAAAATATGGGATTTTAAGGAAATCTTGTCAGGAGATGAACTTTATACTGTGCACATAGGATGCCACAATGATGCTTAATAATTTTGATAATTTTTCATGAAGATTTCTGTATCATTGATCCCTTACTATTTTAAAACAAAGCTGTAGTCTCAAATTAAAGCAATCTATTCTTTTAGCAGGGTAATTTGGTTATATCAGCTAAGTTGAAATCATAAATTGGCCACCGTAATGAGTTGAAAAGCTGACGTTTTGGGCGTTAGCCTTCGTCAGAGCAGTTGCCAAAAAAGAAACACCTTAGGAATCTTACATAATTTATTTAACCACTAACTGCTGTGCTTGACTCACAGGAGTGAGCAGTAAGGCTGGAATTTGTTTTTGGAGATTTACATAATATCTCAAGGTCAAGGCAACCAAGGAGAAAGAAGCAAATTTTACAGTGGAAAATTCCATTGCATGAGTATTTTTGAAAAAAAGTTTTTTTTATCTCAGATAACTTTGCAGAGGTTGCCTTTCCTCTTACCCTCTTGGACAAAACATATTTCCTGTTTTACATATATGATTTCCATCATTTCAGGTAGCCCCAGAGAATACCTAGATGCTTACATGTTTCCAGTTCTCTTACCAGCAATTGAGCAAATGCTGATAGCTGCCAAAGAGAACAAAGTGTTTGAGGTTTGTCTTTCATTGAAATTACTTTTAGGGTTATATATATTGACATGCATGTCCTCAGTTTATTTAACTTTAGAAGAGCAGGAGCAGTAGTTAGAAATTTTCAGCTTTCACTCTTGTCTAACTTATTGTTCTGTACTTTTTCTATAGAGGAGAAGATCAAAGTTTAATGCATGTGACTTTTTGACAGAGTTCTTGTTCAGGTTAGCATCAATAGTTGCTTTAATGTTCTATTTAGTTAACAAAATATTTTTCTATTTTGACCTTGGCAGAAGGGGGCATTGGAATTTGCAGTATTGGCTATTTTTTAGATAGCTTTTTCGGTTTTTGAGCTAAAAAACCTTTGTTTTTTAGTTTTGTGCCAAAAACTTTGGTTATTTGATTTTGGTGTTCATTGTGGTTTGCGGATTTTCTGTTTTTTAGCATTTGGTTTGCAGTTTTAATCAAAAACACTGATGGGTTTTCAGATTTGGTATCTGTTATGGTTTTCAGTTTCTTTCTATTTGGGTTCTGGTTTCTCTTCAATCTGAGCAGCAATTATGCACCTCCACTGATATCTAGTAGTTGCAAAACCTCTACAATTATGCTCCACTTGTGGAGTGACCCTACCATTTTAGTGGTACATTTCAACCCATTCATGTCTTATACAAGGTGTTGTAGCATATGTTCAGGACCTGCTGAGTGCCCCCCATATCAAGGAAAGTTTCAGATCATTCCCTCCTTTAAGCTGCAACATGGATTACTAAAGACAAGATTATTGTACTCTCTTACTTGTTCACAGGAACAATCCCAGATACAAGGATAGATCTAGCATGACTTTGGAAGACATTCCATTTGTGCAAACAATACTTGCGGAGCAGTAAGTTGTCCATCTAAAATGATTATTTACTCAGCTAATCTTAATATATCATGTTCCTGGGCAATTAACACAGTGTGTTTCTCCACCATGCAGTCTAAATGGATACCACTTGGCTCTTAAACTCCTAGAAATTACTAACGTGTAAGTTCTCCCAACAGTATCCTCTCGTTATACAGTCACGAACAGATGAGAATTACTGAAAATTATCAGGTGGAAACTATCTTGATCTAATACCAAATTCATCGTACAAATTAAAATAGAAATGTGCAGCAACCATTGGGGAAAATTCAAAATCAGATCTTGAGATTTTAAGGGTTAAATGTCTTGAAACTGTGGTGAAAACTTATAATGGGCTAACATGCCATTCAGGGGCAGTAAGAAAGATCGTAGTGGCTTTATGCGACAGAAATCAGGATGAGCTCCTTCAGGAAGAGGCTCTTTCCGCCCAAGAGTACAACTAGGCAGCCGGAAACTTTCAGAAATACCTGAGAAAATGCTAATGGGGGTGGGGGTGTGGATTACCTGTGGAGTTGATACCTGCATATGCTAAGGGGGTGGGGGTGAGGATTACCTGTGGAGTTAATACCTGCATATGTGAAGGGGGTGGGGGTGGGGATTACTTGTGGAGTTCATACCTGCATATCCAGTCCAGGAGGAGTACAGATGCCTCACACTGTTTCTTGTCACGGAAAACAGAATAAGCTGACTGACCAGCAGTAATAAGCAACGATGGTCGTAAAGCTTAAACTAATTAAAGCGTGTAACTTTGGACAGCCCTAGTCTTCTTTTAGAAGTAAACTATTGTTTTTTGTCCTCTCTCTGTTTTTTTCTTGCAGTCCTCGACCTCCGTTACCGTTGTCTTTACTGCTCAGTGACGAAGAGGCTGCTATTATCATTCAGGCATTTTTCAGAGGATATCTGGTAAAACTCGGCAATTTCTGAAATTTTTAATTTACCCAGAAATATCAGAAATTCAGTAAACATCACGTCTTGAACGTAGAAAATCGAATTGTTTTGTCAAAGGCCGACCTCTTTGGAACTTGAGTAAATAGGAAGGGCAATTGTGACAATTACAAAAAACTGTACTACCGTAAGGGTACATACAAGAAACGAGTGATGCTGCTTCTATTTTTAGTCAGACTTTTTTTAGAACATTTTTTGCTCAGATATGTCTGAATTGTATTTTTCGTTTCGTTTAGGATTAAGCGTTAAATTTGGGCATAAATAAAAAACCTGGTTTGAATAACATCAACTTTCGTCGCAGTAGCACTTTAAGTGGCACAGAAAACTATCTGTTTTTATTTTACTGGTCAGTTGGTTTTGTTGAATTTGTACCGACAGCCTCTACTCCTACCGATCTGCTAACGTTATATCCTAATGCGGAGAAATAACGTGCCTTTGCAGCAAAAGTTTCAGCTAGCCTCCCGATTAGCTCAACCGCCTCCCGGTTAGCTCAATTGGTTAGAGCACCGGCTTGTGTTGTGCGGGAGGTCGAGGGTTCGAGCCCCGGCCGGACCGATAGTCATGGTCTTAAAATAAGTGAGGAGAATTTGCTACCTTTCTATAATCAAGAAATGGATAGATATTCTAGTCTTTTCGGATAAAGACGAATAAACCGTAGGCCCCGTCTCCTGCAGGGTTAGGGGTAGGAGACGTTAATTTCCCACGCATGAGAATACTGTGTTGTG